TCTAAAGCCACTGCGCTTTCGCTGATCGGTTCCAGCCAGCAGAACCGAGCCAAACCCCTCAACTACAACTCAGCACTTACCTGCGAGTGGTCTGACTCGTGACCAGAGCAAGTCAAGCACCCTCACATCACACGAAGAACCTCTCTTCAGCGTGCGTGTCGTGGATGATGTTGTAGTACCGGACTTGGGTTTGATTGCGGATATCGTGGTTGGTATACACTCCTTTGCCTGTGGGTAGCCAGTCAACGGGAACCCAGCTGTCGCCGTTCTGTGCGAGTACCCCCAGTGCCAGTGCGGTGGAGGAGTTGGAGGTGATGTTGATCCCGAGTTCGGACGTGCTTTGAAATTCCGCCGCGGTACCAATCACTTTGCCGTCGTTGGAGGCCGCTGTATCAACAACCTTGATCCCGACTTTGTATGTGGTCCGTCGGAGGATATTGCATCTGAACCATTCTCGAGGTCTTCGCCGATATGTCGCGGTTCCGTGTTGGAGCTCATTGTATATTACTGATCAGGCGGTGCTAGGCGAAGCATATGTGTCATGCATTGCAGAATGATATCAACCGTTGTACTTACTATTTTCGGCCCTGGTATATAATCTGGCGTGATGGGGAGGCAGGAGGGTAACTCATCGAAAGAAGGGGTTGAGACTTATACAGGCTGCATTCCAGCTACACACCCCAAGACATAAGCACCGAACTCAAACCGGATTCAGGCAGTGAGCAGTCCCGAGTGACTCTAACTGTTATTGACACAGACAGGCCATATTGAAGACTGCGTGAGGCACCGGATGGTGAGAGTTTGATGCGAGGAAAACCCTCTTGTGTACTGTGTACGGAGCCTGGGCGGAAATAACGCCCAGGCCAAGCGAAAGGCCACAGTACCAGAGGTTTATAGACACGGCCTTGTTCCCTGTTGACACCGACTTGAATTCAAGCTGTCTGTCAACACTTGTTTTAGGGATCCTTACGCCGTGTTATTGTTAATTGACGTGGAAAATACCTATGCCGGCAAAGGAGGGCACAATAAATACAGAATACGATCTTCAATTACTGACCCTCCATCTGCCCACATTATCTTGACTTTCAAGTGGAATTCATCCACAGATCCATCATGACTCCTCACTCCGCCAACGAATCTTCAACTCCAGCCCCCATTCCAGCTTCTGATTCTGCAATCCAAGCAGCCTTACCAGGATTGATTGAGCTCAAGGAAGTCGTAACCGCCGGCGGCAAGCCATACCGAGTTGGCTTCAGACCCCTCGAGTTGATCGCGGACATTTGGACTCCTCCCGTTGACCAAACCAGCGCTTCTCCCCTTGAAACCACAGCAAACGACGTCGCTGCAGTGTCCAACAAGAATTTACCCAACTCCAGCGGAGTTGTTACCATTAAAGCTTTACCCTACAATAGAGGGACAGCAGCTGAGAGGGGTTATGGTATTGCCGTTGACTGGCCAGTCACATCCGATTGGGTCGCCACCACCCCCGAGGTGTCCAAAGTAACCTCCATCACGCATTACAGGCTCAGTTACGATCCAAAGGCATTCATCTACAGCTATACGCTGGAGATTACCCATAAGGGAGCCCACTTTTATCAGATATATGACGAAGAGAACGATATGTACGAAGTTGGTGGGCAAGTGTCGGGGACGCGTTCACTGTGGTTCAATTCGAAGCTCCCTACGATCAAGTTTGTTACGAAGCTTCGGTATACGATGCTTGGGAGAATTCCGTAGACAAGTAGCGTATGTGTCACAACTTCTAAATCGGTATGTAGCTTGTAGTAATATGTATGGTCCGGTGTTAGATCGGTCGCTTTAAACTTTAGGGTGGAAGAACTTTCCTTATGCATGCATCGGCGCTTATTCCATGTGACTTTTACATATCGCAAGTTCTTCACCATCAGATAACTGCAGATGACAGACTGAATGTACGCAGGAAAGGTAATGTTTCTGATTTCCGGGTCCCTCAATGGGGCTTGAGCGAAGATTGGAAAGGTATATCACTTCAGGTACACTTTCAAATCCATCGATCAACTGACGACGATTACCCTCCCTCCTCTCTGCCAACAGCTGTATCTTCCAATGTCACAGCGCACCGAATTCGACCAAGTTCCATCTCATTTGTCAGACGCCACTCAACAGCCACAACTTGGACCTTCAGACGACGATAATATCCACTTTGAAGAAGCGGTGTCTGACAAAGGTGACCCATACAGAACTGGATTTGGAGGCCATGTTACCATAGATGGCGTCAGTCTCTCTATCGCTGCATCAGTAAGTAGATTGGGCAATCGCAGTTTATATCTTTGTTGACCTTGCAATGACAGGCTACAGCGATGGGCTCAGAGCCTGCAACCACCGACACCTCCACGCCCGCGCCGCCCAAGCCCATCGACGTCGCTGCCTCTGCCTCCGCCTCTACGACGCTTAGCTCCTTCGCAGCTCAATCCAAATCAAAAGTAGGCTCCATCGATGTCGACTGGCAAGTCACTGTGCAAGGCGAAATCACAAACAAAGTGAAACGGACATGGCTCTCTGACGAAGAGTGCAGCGCCACCGCAATCCAGGGATACTTCATCGTGCACAACCCCGCGGCTCTGTTCTACAAATACACGCTCTACATCATGGTCGAGAAGTCCGCAGACTATTGGTTCATTGACGAGGAGGGCGATCGGTATTCGATCCGTATCGTGAGGCCCAACAATGGGAAGACTCCCCATTTCATTTGGTACAACTCAAAGAAACCGGCCATAAAGCAGGTCGTGTATTTACTGCTAGAGTAGATACTACAAAGAGCACAAAGCGATTATTCTAATTTTTAACAAACAAGGGGAATTACAAAGAACAAGCGAGTTCCTGACATCTTGGGCCGTCCTTGGCATTCGGCTGAGATAACAATCTCGTTCTCTCGTGAACGCAGAGGGTCGACCAACATGGGAGATATAACAAGATAAAAGATACAGTATTAAACTATCGTCGACACGCCGAACTAAACAAGAATGGTAACCACCTCCCCCGTACACCACCTCCCTCGTACATCACCTCCACACCTAGCTCCCTACCCACCTCGTCTCCAACACTTTCAAATGCGCCATCCCACACGCCCCAACCGTCCAATCCTTCACACACCGATACTTTCTCTTCACCCCACACCCCTCAACCGCACACACCCCCGGTCCTCGACCCGGCACAGCGCCACCACCCTCCACATCCATCGGCACACCCGCCCCCAGCTCAAGCTGGCGCTTCCGCACCCGCATACTCATCTGCATGCGCACATCCGGATCCGGTTCGCACTCGATCGCTTCCGCGCTGGGGCACTCCTCCGGAACCTCCCACGTAGGCAAGGCGGACGCAGGAACACTGAAACTCATCACCATCTTCCTCTCCACCCTTCCCGCGGCGGATTTCTCATGCTCCACATCCATCGCGTTCTCGTCTGTACCCGCCTTTGCGCTATCCTTGTCCTTATCGACATTGGGATTGGCAATGGCGTGGGTGTCCCCGCCCGCACCAACATCAACATCCACAACCCTCGACACCCACCTATACATAGTCGGTACCGGCGCCTGCTCCACATACTCCTCCTCCTCCACATCCACATCCTCCTCCCCCTCCTCCACATCGCCCTGCTCAACCTCCTCGCCCTCGGCCTCCTCAATCACCTCCTCCACAGCGGCGTTCTCATCCTTGGCCTTGGTGTTGGCAGAACGCACTTTGACGGCCTTGGCTTGCGCGATGGGTCGGGCGAAACGGGAGACGACACCGGTAGGGGTTGAGCTGCCGGGGAATGGCGAGTCGGCCGTGCCCATCCTTCGTGCTCGAGGCCGGGTCTGTTTCTTGAGTAGCCGGTTG